GCTTAATACATTTGGTTTTTAAATTTCCCCGCTACCTCTAACCACGGATACAACATTTTAAAGTTAATGCATCAAATACAACCACAAAATCTAAAGTTAGCATGTAGCATATCTCTTCGAATTATGACACCTCTGGATGCCCAAAAATAGCAGCTTGCAAATCTGTTGAGCCTCACTCCTCCCCATCCTGTTGTACATTGACAGACACGAGATTTAAAGTTAGTGGGTTCTAGAGTTCATACCTTACTCAGCTCCATGGACAAATAGCGACAAAGTAAAAGTAATCTCGAAAAGAAGCCCATTTCGATAAAAACCATAGGAGGCCATCTAAGAGTCTTAAAAAGAAGAAACCTCAGGCTTTTATTCAAGGTTTAGGCTATACTTAAATCAGGGGTGTCGCCAGGATTTGCACTACGGGGGTGGGGGCGGGGTCCCCTGGGCCGATGTCCCCCACGAAGGGTCAGATTTCCCCAACGAAAACAAAGTTGGCGTGGTCGAGCTTCGATTAAAAGGTTTCGAAAGTGACCCAATTTTGACAATTTAGGGGTTTCAAAAGCTTATTTAATTGATTTTAGTGGCTACTAATAAATTATGTAGAAAATAGGCCCAACATATAATTTGGTTTTTCTCCCCGACGGGTGTTGGGGGGAGGGAAGCTCTCCCCGACGGGGGGATTTCCCCCGGCCCCCGCTGACGCCACCCTTGACTTAAATTGATTATATGGATAATATAAACAATTCACAAATAACACTCAATTTAATTTTCTTTTATTTTGCAGATATGGTGGCACGTGCTTTTTTTCATTGGGTGTTGTACAGGTAAAGGTATACAATTGTATATTATTCAGTTATATATCTAATCAATTGATCAATCAATCCGACCAATCGACGGACGGAGTCGCACATATTTTATTTCGGAAGTACAAAAAAGCCCCAACCAAATACTGGATATGATGCACACTGGCAGGACCTACTCTAATGTAGAATCTCAAAGCTGTTTGCACAAAAAAAAAAAAAAAAAAAAAAAAAAATATGTGATGACTGAAAGCGATTAATGATGATGCACAACGATAAGCATGTACAGATCTATTTTTGCTTTTTGTTATTTTTGTTGACCGTTTAATCTCAATGGTTAAAGGATCGTCACCAACCGATTTCTTTCTTAATCATTGGCATATACTTATGATGACGGATGACACAGTTATAATAGCGTCATCGAGGAATTTTATTAACTAGGATTGTGATTGAATATTGTCAAACTTATGGTATGGTATGGTGATTAATCAAGACTCCCACCCTTGAGGTCGGGGTTCGAAACTCTCGCTGTGCAAGTCGATTGTGTCCTTGGGCAAGGCATTTTATCAACGGTTGTCTCTCCACCCAGGAGTACAAGTGGGTATCTGGTAGGTTCAAACACAGCCCGCGTTGAATACAGCTGCAACATTATGGAATTCCCCCATGAGGTTTGAGTGTGTGTTCCATATGTGCTTGATCCAGTGATCCGGGGGTAATAATGTTTAAGCGCTTCGAGGTTGTGTCAACGTGAGGCGCTATATAAATCCAGAATTATTATTATTATTATTATTATTATTATTATTATTATTATTAATGGTAACAAACAAGATAACATTACAATCAGGGTTAAAAATATTGCTATTGAAATGCTAAACTTATCATTTATTTTTAAAAATAAAGTAACTAAATCGGCAGTAATGTCATCGTTATTGTATACTGGTGAAACTTGGTTAGAAGATGGGATTGCAAACTCATGTCTCCTATCATTGTGTTTGAATGTTGTAAAACCACTTTTTGGAGTAAGGATGCAAACCCCCAATAAATTATCCTATTTTTGATTGAGCAGACATGTCAAGTTGTGCATTTCGAATGAGAGATGGTCAAAGCGTACCGTAATATTGCTAATAATCCGACCCTCATTTACCTCATTTACCGCTCTAGAATTGTGTCATTCACCGATTTCACGACATATGAACGTGATAATTTTAGATGTACCTACGTTACATGATGAAATGATGCGCTTGAGAAATGTCATTGTGGATAAAAGTACACATTTTTTAAATATAATTAAATCAGAATGTTACTTATATATGTATTTCTTGGTTATGTTATTATTACAGTTTATTTAATTTCGTTCAATTTTAATGTATATTCTAAGTAACGCTTGTAAGCAGGATCGGATTACACATTCTACAGCATGAATTTCGTTTTGGGCCCCAGTAGCCTTATTTTTATAAATACAATTAATATTATATTATTAAGTTTCACATTTATAATTTAGGAAGAAACTAAATGCTCTGTTGAATGATAACAGCATCATGCCATTTACTGACTATATTTGTTTATTCACATAGGTTCAGGTGATGTTAATGAGCGAAAATTGAATATGGTAGGCTTTACCTCAACTCCTGCTGTCGTATTCTCACTTTCAAATTCTAACATTCGTGGTTATACAATGGATCCCGATAAATCAAATAATATCATACTCAGCATTACTCTCTTACAAAATGGATTGCTAACAGAACAACCACTATGCAATTATTTGGGTGATAAAGTTGTATGCAGAAACAATGTTAATGTTGGCCAAGGAAATGCAAGTTCGAATTATCATGAAGCTATTATATTGAAGTCTACAAACGCCGATGATGCTCGAGTCGGTCAGTTTACAGTCTACGCCAATAAGAACAATCGAAGTGCAACAGCCACAATCATAGTCCACCATGCAATGGGTAAGTTTACATTTGTTGATGTTTTAATATAATCAATATACTTCGTTTTAATCCTAAAATATAATAATAATAATAATAATGATAATAATAATAATAATGATGATGATGATGATGATATTAATAATAATATTAATAATAATTATAAAGATGATGATGATGATAATAATGATAGTTATTACGTTGTTATATAAATAGAACCTTATAGACATTGCGCACAATACCTCCCTCTAATATGAGTATAGAAAGACGTCATGTAAACTTCAACGTTATTTTTTATATAATTATCACCATTAATTCCTTTCTTATTGTATTATCTGGTTTACTTTGAATTATACCATTTTTAATTCATTTTGCAAATAGTAGTATAGCCGTGTTAATTTAAAGAATAATAACATCTTTTAAAGAAGCGCCACTAAAAAGAAAAAGGTGTTTATTGAAGCTTTTAATATAGCCAGCTGATTCATCAGGTGTATTGCGCACATCGACTGACAGTGCAAAACGTGCTGGATAAATAGCATCTAAAAGTGGTAACCTCAGAGCCACACTGCCTCATAATTACCTGAAGTAATTGCTGTTCTGTTTTGTAACTATTATAATCACCTCCGTCTTTTCAACACTGTAGTTTTTATTATATAAATAATTTAATACTTAAACAAGTAATAATTACAGAGCAAAAACTTTATTTATGCCTATGCTGTAAGATACAATGTATTGTCGAATTTATTTAAAAAAGAAATTATGTAAATTTGATATTTTCACTTTCAGTAAATCCTCTCTTATTATAAGCCTATTATTTATATAC